TTTTGGCTTCAACCCTTCAACTGCAAGCGAAGGTGCGGCCGCTTCTTATGCACCCTCGTCAGAATTTACGGCGCTCCCTGGTGGCCGCCGTATTAAAAATGTATACCAGCTGCTGCATCTGTAGGTCACCTTTACGTTGGAGCTGACAGAGAAAATCTGGACACGGCGCAACGCCGATGTACGGTGGAAGGTAGAGCCTGTTTGCTTTCGTTACTTTTGTTTGGTAGGTATAAATCTGGCAACAACGCACGTTTAGCATGGCTCCGGTATTGTTTTGGTTTGTCGGAACGCTAGAAGCTCGTGCGTTTGCAAGCACATGTTGCGAAGACGTGACCAGAGAAGCGCCCCTGTGATGTTCCCAGAAGACGGAAAGTAGCATTCGTAATCGTCGTGTGTGCTTTGAGAGCGAAGGGAGGCACAGGGTCCACGAGTGCGCAACTACAAGCCAAGGTTCGCGACAGCGCGGCGTTGACTTCGGCGATTTCGTTTTGTTTGGTGCGACACGGCGATGCGAAAAAGAGCTGAAACGTTCGTCGTGTGTGGTGCGGTGCTTTGTGTTCCGGGTCTGTTTGAACCGCGCTTTTTAACACGGAGTGCAAATTGTTTGTTGCGGGGTGGAGGTATCAACGGGTACAGTCCCGTCGTCAGCTGATCCGGTCCAGCTGGTCCGGGAGGACGCAGCGAGCGTTTTTAAAAGTTAAGCGCGAAACACATGTACGACGAAACCTTACGATCTGACGTGCGGGCTGCCGGAATGACCTTAGGGGCGAGGGCTTTCGTTTTCGTTGCATCGGAGAGCGTTGACAACCCTCGCCTCCGACCGGTCGTATTGCGTGGTCAGACGTCGGATCGGACGGTTTCGTCGTACATGTGTTTCGCGCTTATATCTTCCTTCGTTCCGTTTCAAAACTGTGGACGTATCCCGACATATACCGTGAGTAAGAAACAGCGGGCGTTGTCAACAAAATAACGTCCTTTTAATTGAATAATTGACTCCGGATTGTTGTCTTAAATCTGCCGTTTTTATGCTTCCTGTTGGACTGCGTTTGCACAGCGACGCACACCGCTCGAGTAGTTGATTCGATCCTGCAACGAGTTTGTTGCGCCAATCATGCGGCGTGAATAAGTTAGGGCAAGGTTTCCTACCTGCCCACAGATGCATGTACTGAGACCATTTTTTACGTAGTGAACGTAGTGCTTTTTATTTAGGGGGGGGGGGGGGGGGGGAGAGGCGTTGGTACATTTATTATGGTACAATCACTTTAGAGTTGAGAAATTGGAGAGCGAGCAAGCATTCCCAACTTTGTCTCTTTCTCCCTGGCACTGCCCTGTTTTAGTTTCCGTAGGCATATCTACTAGCAGGTACAAACTGCTTTAAAGCAGGTAAAAAACGGGAAGCTTAGGACGGTGCGGACTCCGTGATTCGCGCTTTTCGCAAGGTGACGGGTAAATGCTTTTGTGAGGTATGCGGAATATGCAAGCGATTTTGTTATGCCCGTCGTTTGCGTCTCTCCACCAAAACGAATAAGATGAACTACTACAAAGGCGCAATCACAAACCAAGATTACGATAGCAGTGCGTTTGCTTCGGTGATTTGTGTAGCTGTATTTTACCCTGGTCTCTGCAACACCGTGTCATGACGAAGAGCTGGAACGGTCACGGTTTGTGCTGGCCTCCCGGTTGACAGAAACCCGCGTCGCCCGCATCGGCACCCAGTGCGCTTGGGCTGTTAATGCTCAAGCCTTTTATCCGCGGCTTGACGCCAGCTCATCCTGCTGCTCAACGGTGAGGAAGCGGCGAGAGTAACCTCAGAAGTGAATGTAAATCCTCGTTCATTCAGTTATCCGGTGTCAAAGTGTGGAAGATGTCCAACGTATACTGAGGGCGGGAACTACGAGCGTTTTGCCTTGCTTTTATAACCGAAACCAGACCAACGAGATAACTGCCTTGCGTACTCCAAAATGACGGAAGCAATAAGTTTCAACAGGTCGAGTACGTCACCGGGGATGTAGGCGAGACGGTGCACACTGTTTAAACGCTTTCAGTATCCACGAGTGGTACCAGGAAAGCGACGTCAACAGAGAAGGAGCTTGCGATTCAGCATAATGCAGTGCTACGGGCCCGTGTATCTTCAAAGTTCGGGGTGGCGGCAGTATAAAAAAAAGACGCATCAGCGCCCCACACCAGTGTTCACGAATAACACCGGTCACAAACTCCCAAGCCCCACCGCTCCACTCTACACCGACACGACATACGACAACAAACTGCATCAAAACGCCCCAAAAGTGAAGGCGTCTGCTCCCGTACTGCAACTAGCGGAAGTAAAGTTTTGGGCGGATGTCCTCCACAAAAATATATAAAAAATGCTTTGCGCAAGGATCATTTTCATTTATAATTGTGTACGTAATGACAAAATCCCAATAATTTGTTTTCCTATCTTATTCAAGCTAGTCGGACTGCTCATAACACTGGTCAAGCAAGAAAATAACAAAAATTTGAACTTTTTCATGACCGGTTTAAGATTTATTGTTAACATATCGTTATGTATTGCAACGGACTAACATTATAGATTTTGCCTCCATACTTTTTAAATGCAAACAGTTCTAACACACGGCTGTCCATTGCGCCGTGTTTTGTGTATTCTTCCATAAATCTGTAATGGTCAGCGACCAAAGAGCTCACCCCCACATGTCAAGCTTATATGCGCCGCGGGGAGAAATGGATATGGTGTAGGAAGTGTCGGGCGTAGTGTCGTTGTTGTGTTTGTGTACATGTCGGTGCTGTGTAGCTGTGTGCTGTGTTGCCTGCGTTGTATGTTGGGTTGCTGTCTAATCGTGCTCGTTCGCAGTGTTAACAGACTAGTCTTTTTTTTTAAATACAGGCTGCTAGAAATCTCGATAGGTGGCGCAAGTTACCGCCCGATTCTAAATAGTTTGCTCAAGTTATTTATCCATGTGAGTTCGGCATTCGTTATTTTTTTTTTTTTTTTTTTTGTCTAGCGGCTCGTTGAAGCTACCGACGCCGCCGACGACGCACGTACGTACCTTTGCACGTAGCTACGTCCGCCGCTTGGAGACTTTACTGTGTATAAAAGACATCGATCGAACGAGAACTAACGCGCCCTGTGTGCTTTCAATTCGGCTGAAAGGCTCGCGGCTCGCTGGGCTCGCCTCTCGCTTGTTCTCGGCCGCTGGCCGACATGTTTCATAAGGAACACGCTCGAAACGTGTTTTGCCGAAGGCAGACACGGTGTAGCGTGTTAAGTTTACACAGCACCTCATGTGTAGACGAAAAACACAGACGGCTGCGTGTAAAACGAACACGTTTCGATGTGTCCGTTATGGGACAACGGTTTACACGTCTGGGCGTATTATTTTGCCAACAGTGTAGGAGCGCCTTCTGCGTGTCGCGTGCTGGTATCATGGCTCTTTGTATGAGCGATGTTTCAAATTGTATCAAACCATATTCGCCACACGCCAAAAATATTATTACAGCAGATCACAGATCGATAAACATTTCCGCTCCTCGACTTTGAGTGAATTTGTACAAAAATTGTGTATCTTTTCGTGTTTGGCTCGTGGATGTCTTCCCGGCTGTATGCTGCAAGGGTACTCATAGCATCGTTCTAACGCTAAGACCCTCAATTATGTTCGCAATAGTTATAAAAATTACCTGTTCGCGGTAACATACCCTTCTGTATGTGGGATATGCACTTCGACAACGTACACATAATATTGTTTGTTCTTCAAAAACAAAAACGAATAGGTATAAAATCTTTGCTCCAGCCACAAGGACTGGTCATTGGTCGCTTAATAGTTCTGATGGCAATGTGAAAGATACATACCATAATTTAGCGATAAGTACCAGTTTGGTCGAGTGTATGGTAAAAGTCCATACACAAAAGAGTGTCCAATCCTAAAAAAATATTCCTCCACTTTTTTTAATAAACTGCAATTAGCAACAATTGAGGGCTATTTCCATTATTCTATATGGTCTTTCTGCTAACTTGATAATTATAAAAATGCATTATCCTAATATCGTATGACTCTACTCACCTTTAACCAAAATGGTACTCACATTTAATATTGAAACACCACAGAGTTTTAGTACAACACGTGGGCTAACCATCTCTTCAAAACGGAAGTTCACCTAAACAGAAATGTATGTATTAATCATTTGTCAACTGTGCAGTTAATTTGTGCTTATTACATTTTTATTCCAACGAAAGGAGCCTGAAATACACTGAACTTAAAGGGTGCATCCCAACAAGCCCCCATTTTTCTCCAGTTAAAGTTATGTCGCTTGTGAGAGAGAATTAAGACAAATTCTCAGACATGCAGCAGTTCACACCATAGTCGCTTCATATGCATGCCTCGCAACTACAGTGAACACCGGGGATTAAATATTATTACGAGCTATTTAATTAGTTATTCATAACCATAGATGTGATTCTTGTTTTTTATGGAATATTTCATTGGCTATATTACATAATTTAAGTGTTAACTCTTTGAGATCGTTCTTCCCAAGGAGGCAAGGAGTCCATTCAACTGTAGCACTGCTTCCACTGCAGCGCGGCTGGCCACATCGCGTGTTACTGACGCAGCCGACAGAACAACCGACCACGTACAGCCTGCCACAAACTTAACGACCTACGCTAGCCGTCGCCGAGCTGCATTACCGCGCCACCTTGCGGCGCGGCGGCTGTGGTCGATGTTATGCGTAAACATAACGTGTTCTTTTATTGTTCTAATGGCGCCCGGCTGGCTCTGCCAGCTCTGCCGGAGTTGCCAGTAGGGCTAACGCAACATAGGTGGCGCTACCTTTCATTACATATATAACACGCCCCTTTTTTCCTTTTTTTTTTTAACAAGCTCATGCGGTTTGGAGGACGAACTTGTCTTCCTGAACGTGTGTGAACTGAGGTTGTCGGTCCACTGCTGGTATCACATGGTACATTCGCTGCCCGGGAGGAGTCTTCATCTAAGTCAGACGATGGGCACAGATCCTCCACACTCCTTTGCACTTGGGGTGGTGCCTCTCGATCCCTCGGTGGCAGGTGTGCTTCTCTCAGGTGGTAGCGGTTTCTGCGGTATGTGCCTCCACCGTTTCCTTGCTTGTTTCCAACTGCTGAGAGAGCCGGTCCACGTACGACTGGTAGTGAGAGGACATCTGCTGCTTTTCTGCTGCAATCTGCTCCATGGCATCCTTGAACTTGTTGACTTTCTTCTCCATGTCCAACTTCTCTTGGTGGAGCTCCTCCAACTGGCTGTGCACATTCTCAGAGGCCTGAGCGCCTCCGAGCTGCTGAGCATAAAGCTGCGCCAAGGACAGCTCCTTCTTGAAGTCGCCAAGCTCCTGTTGCAGGGCTTCATTGTCTTTCGCCTTCTTGCCAAGCTTGTTGCTCAACTCAGAAAGTTCTTGCTTCAGTTCTTCGATTGATTTGCTTGATTTGTACTGTTCCGTCTTTAGCATCTCGATTTCCCTGAGGTACTCTTGGGAACTCTTCTCCTGAACCTGGCTCTGGCTGCTGACAAAGTTTAACGTTCGCTCCAAGTCCGTGTTTCTCTCTCTAGCCGCCTTCAGTCTTCCTTGCAATTCTTCCGTCTCCACGGCCTTCTGCTTGGCGGTCTGCTGGCTCTGGGAGAGCGCCGACTGAAGCTCCGTCTTCTCGGCCACCAGGATGCCGATGGTCTGGATGTGCACCTGTAGCTGGTCGTTCATGGCCCCCAGCTCGCGCCGAGACTGATCCTCCCGCTCTTGCTGCTCACGCTCGTACTCACGCTGCTGCCGTGTCAGCTTGCCCCTCAGCTCCTGCAGCTGAAACTCGAGTTGGTCCCTGTCTTGCTGCAGGGACTCGAGGCTCGTGGCCAGCTCCTGGTTCCTTCGCAAGAGGGCATCATTCCTCGGGGTGCCGGAGCTGTCCGCAAGCGCCGCAATGTCTCCATTGAGAGCCGCGTTGGTGTCGTTCATCAGGCCGTTTAGCTGCAGCGTGATCTGCCGAAGAATCTCCGCAGACGACAGCACCCTATTGCTTGGCTGGTCCTCACTTGCTAACTGGGAGAGGTCCTGACAGGAATGAGCAGTCAATGATTGGGCCTCCTTGGGTTTAGACGGCAAAGCCATGGAGTAGCTTTGCTCCAGAAAGCATACTTCTGGTGTGTCATCCCTTCCTGTAGTGCCATCAACCGAGTTGCACTTGAGTCTGTTGAGTTGTATTAGCTTCAGCTCCCAACAGGCATCCAAACCCAAAATGGCAGCTGTTGACATGTCAACTATGCAGAACTTCAGTGTTGCCGATGTGCCAGGTACGCTGCATATTAGAAAGCACTCTCCACGTAGTGGCAACGGCTCACCGGTGTAAGTAGTCACACAAGCACCAGGGCTGTTAAGTAGTGGGGTATCCGGCAACTTCTGCAACTGCTCCATCGAGATTAGGTTCACATCTGATCCAGTGTCCAGTTTGAACACATGGTCGTGTCCACTGACGTTCACTCTTTGGTTTTATGAAGAAGAGTGCTGAACGGTGCGAACAGTCAGCACATCCAAGGAGAGAGGTGCATCCTCCTGCAGCTCTCGCACGACGTGGGCATGACGCGACTGCAACGGACGAGGCTGATGTAGCTGCTGACACAACGCAGCATAGTGGTTGGGCTTGCCATAGTTGTAACACTGTTGTCCGAATGCTGGGCACTGTCGTGGCTGGTGAAATTGGCCACACCTGGAGCATGTTCTTTGCGAGTTGTGACGAGGCTGCGGTGGCTGGCGGTGAGTGGGCGCTCCTTCACTTGGTTCCCGCGTAGCGTCATACTGCCGTGAAGTTCGTGGAGCGCGGCGATGTATTGCGAGCACCTCCGGACGCTATTGCTGCATCTCTTGGGCGTACGTTCTGGAAAGTTGCGCTGCCATACACTGGTCCTTGACTTTGTCGAGTGTAAGTTTCTTCTCGCGCAACAAGCGTTCTCTCAGCGAGTTGTCATTTATTCCATGAACGACGCGGTCGGTGATCATACGGTTGCGAGCTTCACCAAAAGCGCATTGATTTGCCTGCTTCTCTACGGCTTGAGCGAAGGCCTTGAACGTTTGGTCTTTCGACTGTTTCAAGTTATGGAAGACGTAGGATGCATGCGTTGTGTTGCGGTACCTTTCGAAGTGCTCGTCGAAACACTGAAGAACATCGGCGAACTTCTGCTGCGCCGCCGGAAATGTGAATGCGTGGTACTTCTGCACGAGTTCCGCGCCTCCAACATGTAGCAGCAGAGCAATCCTTGTCTCGTCGTCTTCCTTGTGGTACTTTGTTGCACGTTCGTAGATCGTGAAGCTCTTCTTCCAGTCTCTCCATTCCTCTGCCTGGTTGGCGGCTGCCGAGAAGGCTTGAATGGGCGGAAAAAACAACGCCATCGCTTCTGTGGTAGATGCTGCTCACTTGCTTATCTCACTTCTGACACCATGTTATGCGTGGGTTCTTTTTAGTGTTTTGGATTTACAGGATGGCGCTGGATTTTAAAACATAACGTGTTCTTTTATTGTTCTAATGGCGCCAGGCTGGCTCTGCCAGCTCTGCCGGAGTTGCCAGTAGGGCTAACGCAACATAGGTGGCGCCACCTTTCATTACATATATAACAGTCGAAATTCGTTGCGCACGCATGTGCGCCCTTTGGTTACTCATGCCGTGTCCCACTACAGCGACAGGCAGAAACAAGACAGCGACAAGCCTCGAACCCATGCAGCATGCTCGCGGTGGTACCTTTGGCAGGCGTTAGTCGTTCGGTGCTCGTGAAGTAAGCACGAGCGATTGCAACCCTCCCAAAGATACCCTCGCGTGATTGATGCTCGTGTTTGAGCATAGCCTCCTTCATTCTACAAAGCCTCTCAAATGGCGAAAGACTCTGGTTTGAAGCTTGTCGCTGCCGTTTGTTTCTGTCTGTCGCTCTAGTGGGACATGGGCATCACAGGCATATTAACATTCCCGCTTCCGACCGACACCTTCTGCTTAAAACGACTAATTAGTTTTAGACTAATACGTCACAAAAACCACATAATGAATGGCGCCTGCCACGGCCTACCATGGGCCTGCCCGCCTGCTTGCCTGCACGCCGTCGTCACAGCATCATTCTGTATGGCCTCTGCTCCTACGGGCGTCGTTCGTCCATGCCGTGCGTGCCGTCCGTCTGGGCTTTCTGCTGCAGCGTGTTCGGTCGGCTTTGGATTAATGAAGGTGACGCATGACCTCCCGCGCGCTCGCATGCTCGGTGTGAGTTTGTGGAGCCGAGCGGCTTGAGGTTCTCGCTTTGTCGTTTCCGTAGGGATGTCGGGCTGGAATCGTGTGTGCACCTCGATTTTTGATCAGATTGTTTTGTAAAAGAACTTGACTTATTACCCTGCGCACGACATTGCCTATGGATTTACAGATGATGATGTTGAACGGTGTTGCAGATAGAGCATTGGTTGCCGTGCTCTCTGAAATTTCCAGGGCGTGGGTTCAGCCCCTTGCATACACTGTTGTGCGCACTTCAACACCGTCTTCTTTTATGCGCAGTCTCCTCATTCCTCTCGATCCGGGAGCTCAAGTCTGTTGGCTTCACAGTAAAGGCTTTGGCCTGTGAACAGGGGGCTTTAAACGTAACCTTGGCCAACCAGCTTGGTGTGTCTGTTAATAAGAAATGTTTGAAGATAACAACGAACATATTTACTTTTACTGTGATGGTCCGCACCTTATCAAAACAGCAAGAAACAATCTCCAATCACAAATTTTTCATTGAAAATTAGGTCATTGAGTAGTATTGAAGAGCTTCATCGTTCTACCCATGAGATGAGGTTGGGATTGGCTCCGAAACTTACTGAGAGACACATTTTTCAAAACTTTTAGAATAACATGAAAGTAAAGCGTCCCGCACAGGTACTGAGTGTCTCAGTCTTTCTCGCAGTCTTATCCCTTCTTTATACCAAGGACCTTCCTGAGGCAGCCATGGCTACAGCTTATTTCTGCGATAGAAAGGACAGGCTTTTTTGATTTTTCTAAATATCTCACAATTCAAGAAGACAAGACAGATGTTGTGTCAGGCCATTCTAAAAGGAGAATTTGAGATACTCGATTTCCTTCACCAGCAAGTCGGATGGATTTCAGTATGGAAGTTCCAAAATAAAAGGTAGCCACAAACCATCATGGAGTGGTAAGTTACTATAAAGAGTGTCCTCAAGCTCTGGGAGGAGATTTCAAACAGCTATGACTTTAAGTTCTTAGCTACACGACGCCTGCAGCAAGACCCACTTGAGAACATCTTTGGAGCTCTATGAGAAATGCTGGGCTGCAATGCAAACCTAAATCTGTATCAGTTCACCTCAGGACTAAAACACATACTGATAAAGAAACTCTTCAAACTTTCGAAACAATGAAAACGTAGAAGATGACAAGGCTGACTTCCTCAAGGAGTTGTCAATATTTTTGCACCATGAAAGTTCAATTGTAGTAAATGTGGAATATCTTTCAACTTATAACTTCCCGCCACTAAAGGATATTTCTGACGAGACATCAAACATCAGGTCTAACATAATTGATGACACGTCCACTTATTACGTTGGGGGTTATTTCATCAAGCATTTCCTTGAACAGACAAGGCACTGTTCTGGCTGTTCTAAGCTGCCGAGGGATGAGTCTGACAAATTGATCAGGCCTCATCATCACTTTCTTGTTGTGAAAGCATACCCTGTGCCTGGAGAACTCTTCGAGAACCTAGCAGTACTATCACAGGTTGCCTTTAATTTCATTCAGCAACTAGAAAATCACTTTCATGTCGTAAGAGAGAGTGTGGCGCATGTTTGAGGAGTGTGTGCTGCCTCGTATCACACACCTTCAGGACTGAGTAGTTTGTCTTTGCTTAGAGTGCCACAAATGGTTTTTGAAAATGTTTTGCACAATACGCTTGTGTTGGCATGTTCGATTTCTTAACCGGAACTTGGACAAAGTCTCGTTGCACCCTTCAGTTGCTGGTAAGCCACTACACAAGTTTAAGGGTTAATAGTGTATTAACAGAGGCGGTTGCGAAATCAAAAACAGAATGTGCCTACTAATTGAGCGGTGCACCTTGCACTCCAAACATTCATTTCCCTCATTTCCAACAAATGTGTAGCATGGGCCCCCAGCAAAAGTATTTATCCACTTTCTATAAAATTTCCATAAAACAAATATTGTGTAAAGGTTATAGATTCGAAAGAAAATGCATCCACTGTTGTATTCATTTTCTCTAGCTTTTTAGCCATTTTTTTTTTCGTTTTTGTTTTGCGACATATTTCTTTTCTGATCGACTGTATTTCGGAGAATGTTGAGGGACGTTCAATCTTGTCAGATTCTGAATAGAGTTTTCATTGCTTCTTGATGGCCCTCCCACAGTGTGTTTCAGGCTGTACCGATTCGTGTGTTTTTTATTGGCCGAAAATTGAGAATTTGTTCTCTCCGCTGTATGCTTTGCACTCTTATTATACTCTTATAACCGGTGATGATAGCGATGTCTTATTTATTTCTACACTTACGTCCTGTGCCCGAGTCGTCGTGAAAGTGAAGGGATCACTCAGCATTTTCCCTGTTGAAAGTTTTTGTCAACTTTGTTCAGCTAAATATCTATTACAAAGTGTGCGATATGCCGAACTCCGTCATATTCATTTATTTTTGTGTGTATATTTTTCTTATAAAACATGCAGAGCGCCTGAGGTAAATCCTGTATATACGAATGTGGCCCAATAAAATGTTTTCGAATCCTTTCTTGTTGTTGACCCCAAAATGTTCCACCAGTCAGGAGTCAATGTAGAGATCGTGTAACTTCAAAGTTTAACAGTATGAAAATCAAACAAACAATATATACACCTCTGTTTTGTTAAGTAAAAATGTTTTTTGACACATTTTGCACGGATTCTATCGTCAAAATTAAAATAAAACTCCGTCGATATTTAAACAAAAAAAGGGAAAAGCGGCTCCGGGAGCCGAGTAGCTTCCGAGAGCCTAGCGAGGAGGAAGGCGAGGACGAAAGAGAGAGAAAAAAGAGAAGAAGGGTACGGGAGAACCGGAGCAGAAATGCCCCAACCGAAACTAACTTGACCGGAACCGGAACCAGCTTACGCTTAATGCCGCCTGCTAGGAGCGCTAGCTGTCACTGGTCTATCTGGGCCGCTGGGGTCTATGGTAGTGTCAGCTCTTTACCTTGAGTATATAACTCTAGGGGTGACATGCCTGCGAACACCACAGGACG